CAGCCCCAGGATTTTTTTTAAATAATACTGTGCATTAGTTAGGGTTCTCTAGAGAAACAGAACTAAACCGGAACTGTTAGAATGAGTATGTATTACAAAGGAGATTTATCAGATTGGCTTACATTGGTATGGACTGGATAGTCCAGCGGTGGTTTGTCTACTGCTGGAGAAGCTGAGAACCCAGTAGCTGATCAGTCCACGAGGCTAGGTTCCTCAGCAGTCCCAGTCTGGCACTTAAGGCCTGGAGGATTCCTGGAGAATCATAAGTCTTCAGTCCACCTGGAAGGCTGAAGAAGCTGGGTTCCATTGTCAGTAAAAGATGACTACAGAGGCAGCAACAGAGTGGGTACATGCACCAGCAAGGATGAAAGGTCAATAGGCGAAAAGCAAACAGCTGTCCCCTCATACCTCATAATTTGGGCATAAAAAGGATCTCCTCTCAGCCAGTCCTTCCAGGAAAATACCCTCACATGCCCACTCAGGCATGCCTTTTACTTGACTCCAGAGCCAATCAAGTTGACAATCATGATTAACTATCACATATCACATTGTGGGACCTGGACATGCTACTAAAGTCTGGCCTTGGTGAAACAGTTTATCCATGTTTATCAGGAGTCTTGAATATTTCTTTGACCCAGTAGTTAATTTCTCCCTGAAAAAGATGTTCATTGCATTAAAACTAAATACCCAATAATTAGGGAATAATCTAGTAAATTATAAGCATACAATGGAAAGTGATATGGTGTCGTTCCCCCCCCCCCCAGACAGGGTTTCTCTGTGTAGCTCTGCTCTCCTTTCCTGGAACTCACTCTGTAGCCCAGACTGGTCTCGAATTTACAGAGATCTGCCTGCCTCTGCCTCCTGAGTGCTGGGATTAAAGGCGTGTGCCACTACTGCCCAGCAATATAGTGATGTGTGTGTTTGTTTGTTTGTTTGTTTGTTTGTTGAGACAGGGTTTTTCTGTGTAGCTTTGGAGCCTGTCCTGGAACTTGCTTTGTAGACCAGGCTGGCCTTGAACTCACAGAGATCCACCTGCCTCTGCCTCTAAAGTTCTGGGATTAAAGGTGTGCACCACCACCCCCTGGCGGTGATTCTTAAATAATACTTAAGAGTTGATGTAATGTGGAAAATGTAACACTAGAAAGTTTAAAAGATATAGTAAAATTGGAATTTTTTTTAAAATCTTTTTTCCCCTTAAGCATTTTTTATTATCTTGTAGGGAAGAAAAGGGGCTGGAGAGTGGCTTAGTGGTTAAGAGCATTGGCTGCTCTTGCAGAGAACCTGAGTTTAGTTCCCAACATCTACTTCATTGGCTCACATCCATATGTAACTCCAGTTCTAAGGGATCTGAGGCCCTCCTCCTGTCTCTGTGGGTATTGCATGCAAGTGGTACACATACAGACAAGTAGGCACATGAATAAATAAAAGTTAAAAAAATTTTAAAGCTATATAAACATTCTTTTCTCCTTTCCTTCCTCCTCCTCCTTTCCCTTCTCCTTCCCTTTTTGAGACAGTCTTAACTTACTATTTAGTCAAAATGATGACCTTATTTTAAAAAACCCATAATAAAGGCATTACATTTAAAACACACAAAATTATATATTTAAAATCAGCATATAAAGAAGCACTGTAATACCTGATAAATATCTTTCTCAATATATTTATAGGTACATGTATAGGACAGATAGTTTGTTAATTACAATTATTTACTTTGTATGTGTGCATGCAGGGGTCAGAGGACAACTTACTGGAGTCCTTTCTCTCCGTCCACTCTGTGGGTCCCTGGGACTAAGGTCCTCAGGCTTGGCAACAAGCACCTTTACCAGCTGAACCATTTCATACCGGCCATGTTTTTGTCATTTGAAAAAGGAAAAGGGGCTGGGCAGTGGTGGCACATGCCTTAATCCCAGCACTAGGGAGGCAGAAGCAGGTGGATCTATGTGAATTAGAGGCCCGTACAGTCTACAGAGCTAGTCCCAGGACAGCCAGGGCTATACAGAGAAACCCTGTCTGGAAAAACCAGAATAAGGAAAAAGAGGAGTTCCACTGATACTTTTCAGGATGGATAGGACCTTTCTTTTGGATTTTTTCTTCTCGTGGGTTTTTTTTTTTGTTGTTGTTGTTGTTGTTGTTGTTTGTTTGTTTTAATTGAACCTAAAGCCTGAAGTCCTAGGCAAGAACTCTACGACTACCTAAGCCCTCCCCTTCATCTTACTAAGCGTGATCAGTGCAGGTAAGACAGAAAATTAGCTCTAGCCTCTGAGCGCTTAGAGCAGTTGACAGACATCAGTGTGTGGTTATTTTGAGGGTGATCCCCCCCCTCCCCTGCACCCCAGCATTTCTCTGTGTAGCCCTGGCTGTCCGAGACTTGTTCTGTAGACCAGGCTAGCCTCAATCTCAGAGATCCACCTGCCTCTGCCTCTGCCTGTGCCTCCCCAGTGCTGGAACTATTTTGAGGATGATCTTTAACTATGAGGGGGAAAAAATGAGCTGAAAGCTAGTGGTTTGGTTGTAAAGGTGTTTCTTTTCAAGTTGTCCAATTTGGTTCTGTGACAGCTGGGAAGGTATTAGCATAAGATAAAAATATCAATTTACGGGCATTAAACATTATGGATAGCTAATTAGCTATTAGGTGAAATTTAACACTTTTTTTTTTTTTCATTTTTTTGAGTGAAGGTTTCATGTAGCACAGGCAAGCCTTAAAATTGGTATGCAGCCCAGAATGACCTTGAACTTTTAATCCTCCTCTTCCCACTCATAAACCACCATGTTTGGTTTGTGAGGTGCTGAACATCAAACCAGGGGCTCTGTACGTGCTAGGAAAGCAGTGTGCCAGCCTGGCTGTCCTGAGCCCACATTCATTGCTCTTTTAATACAGTGGCCCTTAGGTTGGATGTGTGTCTGCTTTGCTTTGGTTTTAGCGTGTTTATAGTAATCATATTAGAGATGCTAATTCTGAGTAGATCGTTAAGGACTCTTCTAATCATTGTACTTTTCAAGGGTACTCATTAGAACGGCTTTGTTTCCCCCCAGTTGGTAAGCTAGTGGCTGGCATGGTGCATCAAGTGTTTCAAAGCATGCGGCTGCCATTGGCATTGATTGAAAACCTTAAGAATTTCTGCCAAGTTCTCGTGATCTAATCCTCTCCTGAAAGCACAAAGCTCATGTGTATTGAAATGCCTGAGTCAGCTGCTTAAGGGATATATTGGCTACACTCCTGCTCATTCTTCTAGGATGAAAAATCTCCTTGGTGACCCAAGGCAGCAAGCTTTTGCTCTCTCCACCCAAAAATGCATTTATAAAAACATACAGGAAAAATATGCCCACATATGCAAGTGTCTGTACATATCTAAATGGCAGTGTGAGAATTATGTTTCCAAGTATTATGCTTGATTTCAGCAGATATTGGTATGATGTTTTTTGTTTGTCTGTTTCTTGCTTTTTTTGTTTGTTTGTTTGTTTGTTTTCTGAGGCAGGGTTTCTCTGTGTAGCTTTGGAGCCTATCCTGGAATTTACTCTGTAGCCCAGGCTGGCCTTGAACTCACAGAGATCCACCTGCCTCTGCTTGTCTGTTTCATTTGTTCATTTGAGACAGGGTCTCACTTTGTATAGCCTTGGCTGACCTGAAACTCTCTAGATAGAACTAGCTGGCCATGAACTCACAGAGATCCACCTGTCTCTGCCTCTCAAGTGCTGGGGTTAATTTAATAACATAAGACAATGGCTTCTACTGATGAGGATTAATTTTATTTAATTTCTCCAGCTTTCTAAGGAAGGCAAAAGAAAGGCACCTGCTGTTGATTGAATATTCACTGTGTGCCTGGAGCTTGCACTTGTTCAGAAACACTCTTGTATTTAGGGGAGAACCTTAGAAGTAGCAGGTAAAACTATAGAGCTTTGAAGCAGTGAGAACTGAACCAGGCAAGTCCCTTCCCAAAGGTGTCTCCATTGTGTTGTAGAAGTGTTGGGTGTTCATAAAACACCATCATCGGGTGGTATGGAGGGGGGCGGGGGATAATGACCGACTGACTGCTGTCAACATTGCTGAATAAAAATACAAGTAGTAAATAGTAAGCATAGTATACTACCATTGTGTGAAATTGGCGGATAGACAGACATATAAATGTGTCTGCTCTTATATTGCACTTAGCATATGTAGCACCTCTACATACATGCTCACACAATAGTTACCTTTAGAGATGGAAATCTATCATTATTATGAAATCTAGTACTTCTGGGTTTTGTTTTATGTGAATGTGTATCAATTATACCTCATTCAAAAACCTAAAACCTGAAGCTTTTCGAACACAGCCATGACATAAGTGGAAAGTTCCATACCTGACCTAATACGGCAGTGCAAATGAAGATGCTCTTGCCTAAGTTGCCTTCAAGCATATGTATACTATTTATGAAAATGGACTTCTTGTTCATCCTCCCATGTATATATGAATATTTTTATCTCCGTGTATATACAAATACATCAAGGCTTCTGTAAGGCTTCTGCTGGCAAGCATATCAGATAAGGGGTACTCAACCTATATTATGTGTTCAAAGAGGATTTAATGGTGATGGACTATTGTGAAAGGCGAGGGGTCTCCTTTGTGCTTGTATATACTTTGACACTTTTTTTTTAGCACAGTAATAATGTTTATGTAGCTTCCTCTACCCCATCCAGGTGAAGCGTTCCTTTAGGGCAGAGACCAAGCCAAATAAGCCTTGTATCAATTGAGCTGAAGTACTTGCCTTAGTATAGGGAAGAAAGAGATATTTTTCTGCCATTTGAAAGGTTCTCTTGCACAAGAGATTAAGATTGTCGTGTGTATTTCGGTGGGTAGAAGCATTAAGGTGAGCCCTCAGTGCGAGCTCAGGAGATGTGGAGTAAGCTCAAGGACATGGATAGCCCTGGGTTCTGCTCTGCACTTTACTCTAGATGGTGCATGTATACAGATGTTCCGGTTTTAATTTGATCAGAAACAAGAAAATACTAACCTTTTGTTTTTGTTGATTTTTTCATAGTCAAGTTCATCCGAGAAGTAACACCGTATATCAAGAAGCCATCTTTAGTATCAGATCTGCCATGGGAAGGTGCTGCTCCCCAGTCACCAAACTTTAGTGGCAGTGAAGACTCTGGTTCTCCAAAGCATCAGAATAGCACCAAGGACAGGAAGGTCATCCCTCTCAAAATGTGCTTTGCTGCTAGAAACCTAAGCATGCCAGATCTGGAGAACAGGTGAGCCGTGACTGTCGAGAGCATCACACTCAGCATTACCAACTCAAGGACATACCACAGTATCAGTGACTCCTGTCGAGTAGATTATTTTCTTGTCAGGTATAGTAGCACATACCTTAAATTCCAGCACTAGGGAGGAAGAAGCAGACAGATCTTTGAATTCAAGACCCAACTGGTCTACATAGTGAGTTTCAGACCAGCCAAGAATGACCTCCTTTAACATGTAAGGCTTTAACTTCATTAAAACCTTGGGGCCGGGCATGGTAGTACACGCCTTTAATCCCAGCACTCTGGGAGGCAGAAGCAGGCGGATCTCTGTGAGTTCGAGGCCAGCCTGGGCTACAGAGAGTTCCAAGACAGGCACCAAAACTACACAGAGAAACCCTGTCTCAAAAAAGCAAAAAGAGAAAAGAAAACAAACAAAACTTGTGCTTGGCGTGTTTTATGTAGTATCTCAAGAAACTATAGCTTATTTTAAAGTCTATAAATTTTTTTATTCATGTGTATGTTTATGTGAATGTATGCTATGTGTATGGGTGCCTGAAGAGGTCAAAACTGGAGTTACAGGCAGCAGTAAGCTGCCTAGTGTGGGTGCTGAGAGCCAAACTCAGGTCCTTTGCAAGAACACAAGGTGCTCTTAACTTTGAGACATGTCTTCATCCCAAGAAACTGTAGCATAAAATGCCACAGCTAAACAGTGTGGTAGCTCTCACCTAAAATCCTAGTGCTTGGGAAGCTGAGGAAGGAGGATCACTGAATTTAAGGCCAAGTTGGGCTACACAGTGAGTTCCAGATTAGTGTAGGTTATAAAATAACTGAGTAAACCAGTTTCAGAAAAGTCACAAAGGAGCAAAAAGCCTTCTATTCATCTATTGGTCAGACACACACACACACACACACACACACACACACACACACACAAAAAAAAAAAAAAAAAAAAAAAAAACACTCAGGCCAAGGAGGGCAGAAATGCTAAGCCCTTCCATTATAAATCACTTCTAGAATAGGTACCTATGGCATTGCTGATGCAGCTAGAAGAGTGAAACATATACAATTTCTGGAGAACAGAGGTTTCGGGGATAGGGAAAGAAGGAAGGATGAAGGTGCTTATGATTTGACTGTATAGCTCAGAGTTCTGCTACCTTTATCATCTACTAAGACATCTGTTAGAATCCATCACCTTAACTTTACTTAAAACTCAATCATAAGCTGAAAATATTTTTAAAGATTTATTTTATGTGTGTTATGTCTGTGCACCGCATAAATACTTGCTGCCCATAGAAGTCAGAAGAGGGCATCAGATTCCCCTGGAACTGGAGTTACAGACATTTGTAAGCCACCATGTAGGTCATGGGAATTGAGCCTGGGTCGTTGGTTGGTTTGTTTGGTTTGTTTGTTTGTTTGTTTGTTTGTTTTTTGAGACAGGGTTTCTCAGTGTAGTCCTGGAACTCATTCTTTGGAATAGGCTGGCCTCAAGCTCAGAGATCCACCTGTCTCTGACTCTCGAGTGCTGGGATTAAAGGCGTGTACCACCACTGCCAGGCATGAACCTGGGTCTTCTGCAAAAGCAACAAGTGCTCTTAACCACTGAGCCATCTCTCTCTGTCTAGCCCCATATGCTGGGAACATTTGATAACTGTCAGGTTTGAAAGAGCTCCTCAGAACAAGTGTAGAGAGCAATGTGGAACTGCTAGAGTCAGCCGACTATCTGTGTGTGTGTGTGTGTGTGTGTGTGTGTGTGTGTGTGTGCGCGTGCGCGCGCGCGCGCGCGCAGCTCAGGAAAGAGGACAGGGATCATGAGAGAGAGAAAGTGATCCTAAGGGAGACATGATGGATCACATATAAAAGGAAAGCAGAAAGGGAACCAGCAGGGGGGAGGGAAAGGGGGAATGGAGGAGGGAGTGATTGAGAACAAAGTATGAAGCTACAAAGATGCTATGGTGACCCCCAGTACTTTCAGTTTAGCAAAAGTCAAAACACTGCAGAATATTTGGGGCGGGGGCATGTATCACACCCTTCATTCCAGTCAGCTGACCCTCACACTTGGCCATGATGTACTGCACAAGGCTGGATCTCTGGTGGCTGAGGCTAGTGTGTAAAGATTCTCAGTCTCACTGCTAAACAGGAATTTGTTCCTACCCGAAATACCACATTTGAAAATGACTGTCTTTCTGTAAGATGCCAATGAAAAGAGACTGAAGGTTATTCTGGAGGGTGATGCTTTAACTTGCACTGCAGTGTTCTCTAGAGAAAAGCAAGCAGCAGAGGAGCTGGCGGGGATCACACGTAACTTTGCTTATTTCCAAGACTGAACATCTGTCCTGTGTGTCTTGGCAGAAAAAAAAAAAAAATTACAGACTCATCACCTAAACAAACTTCAGTTGTAAGACTAAAAGACAGAGCTAAGCACCTGGGCTGTGGCATTTAGGCCAAGCTATTTGTTTTCTATGTGCCTCAGTTTCCTCTCGAACAAAATAAAAGTTCTATGAGGATTAAATAAGAAAATGGTCATAAAATTGGCATAGTAAATTCTTAAAAGTGTGTGGGTGCTGTCAATTTCCCTTGGCTAAAATTGTTTATATAATTTCTCTGTCATGTTTTCTGTCTATAAAATGAAAATACAGCCTGTTCAGCTGCATCTTTTAGAGCCCCTTCAGGAAAGCTGGGAAGATGGCTCTGTGGGTAGTTTTTGTACAAGCATGAAGACCCAGCACCCTTGTAAAAAGCCAGATTTGGTGGCGTGCACCTGGAATCCCAGTGCTTAGAGACAGGAAGATCGTAGGGTTTGCTGGCCAGCCTAGCCAGTCAGTGAGCTCCAGGATCAGTGAGAACAAGATAGAGAGTGCCAGAGGAAGACGACCAAATTGACCTGGCCTCCATACACATACACAGCATGCACACATGCATACACCATACACACACACACACACACACACACACACACACACAGTAAGGGGAAAGGAGATAAGATCTATAAAATCACTGGGAGCTCTTTATCCTTAAGATTATCTAAGTCCCGCCAAGACACACGTCAATTTATTTATGTTTTAAAAATTATTTTATGGATGCTTTACCTACATGTGTGCCTGTGCCCCACATGCATGCCTGGTACCCCACAGAGGCCAAGAGGTCAATGTACCCTCTGGGATTAGAGTTATAGATGGTTGAGCCACCATGTGAGTGCCTGGAACCAAATCCAGGTCCTCTGGAAAAGCAGTCAGTGCTCTAAACCGATGAGCCATCTCTCTAGTCCTATCTGTGCCTTCTTGATGGTCACTTGAGCAATTTTCAGTTTGGAGTTGGTTGTCATGACTATTTTGCACATCATTTTTGGTCATGCATTTTCATTTTACTTGGGTGAACTTGGTGGAGTGGAGTTGCTGTGTCAAATGGTAGGTGTGTCGGGGAATGGTGGTGCATGCCTTTAATTCTAACACTAATCTGGAACTCTTAAAGCAGTGGCAGATGCCTTTCTGTGAGTTCCAGACCAGCCAAGGCTATATAGCAAGACCTTCTCTCAAAAAACAAACAAAACAAGCTGGGTGGTGGTGGCGCATGCCTTTAATCCCGGTACTCAGGAGGCAGCGGCAGGCGAATCTCAGTGAGTTCGAGGCCAGCCTGGTCTACAAAGAGAGTTCCAGGACAGCCAGGACTGTTACACAGAGAAACCCTGTCTTGAAAAACAAACAAAAAAATCAAAGAAACAAATTGTAGGTGTGTGTTTTATCTTCAAAGGAACTTCCGGGGCTAGAGAAATGGCTCCTCGGTTAGGCTCCTCTTCCAGTGGACCATGCTTTCCAGCAGCACATGGCTTCAGGTGTCTGGAACTCCAGTCCCGAGAGATCAGACTCCTTCTGACCTCCATGGGCAGCAGGCACACACATGGTCCACATACATATATGGAGGCAAAACACTCAACACATTAAATAACTAAAGTAAATCTAAGAAGAAAAGAAGAAATTTCCAGGCATTCTTCCAAAGTGACTGCCATTTTATGCTAACACCAACAGCAGCCAACCGTGAGAGTTTCCTTTGCTCCATGTTCTTGCCAGAGTTGTCTGTATTGACTGTTCTGATGGGCATGTGCTGGAGTCTTGTTAGGGTTCAGCTCTCTTTTTTGGGGAGGCAGTGGAAGAGGATCTCAAGACAGGGTTTCTCTGTGTTGTTTTGGTGCCTATCCTGGATATTGCTCTGTAGACCAGGCTAGCCTCAAAGTCACAGAGATCCACCTGGCTCTGCCTCCCAATCATCTTTCATTTTTATGTAAAGGTTTCATTAAAGCCAAAAGGGAAACAGCCTTTTTGTTGCTGTTGTTTTTCGAGACAGGGTTTCTCTGTGTAGCTTTGCACCTTTCCTGGAACTCACTTGGTAGCCCAGGCTGGCCTCGAACTCACTGAGATCTGCCTGACTCTGCCTCCTGAGTACTGGGATTAAAGCATGTGCCACCCCTGCCTGGCGAAACAGCTTATTTTTACTATCATTATTTTACTACTTTGATTTGGTTCTGTATTTATAAAGCTGGTGGGGGTTCTGTCAGAATAAGTGAGTAAATGAAGGTTACTGCCTTTGCCTCGCTAGATGCTTCTGTTAATTGTGTGTTGTGTTATGAAACTTGAAAACTAATTAATTAGTGATGACATCCAGTGAGAGAACATGAGCCTATTCCTTAGCAAACAGCACAGTGTCCTGTAGGAATGTAGCAATTTTAAATCTGTCTTTTGCATTGGCTCATAGTTTTTCATCTTCATTCTGTTTTTTAGTAAAAGATTTGTGACATAAAATCCCATGATTATTACTAAATTTAACTCATAAGGTATGTCAAAGACATAACCAAGCAGATAATATAGGCTGAGCTTACAATCCCATGCTTCTGTCTACCTAAGTATTGATTTGACTTGTCTGTTCAAACTGTGATTAAATTTCCCAGGAAATCCTCAGTGCTCTGACTACAATCCAAAACCTTTAACCTTGTAGCTGCCTCCTCTCTCCTATGGGCTCAATTACTGGCAGACTGCCTCCATGTTTGCTATTGGCAGGGTTTTCATTTTAATTTTTCCTTTAAAATAGCTCATTTTAAGCATTACTATGTTTCTGTGTCAGTTTTGAGAACTGCTCCAAGACAGACTCTTTTGGATCCTAGACTCAGTTCTGCTTGGGAGTTTACTGTTTTCTTCATTGACTTTTCCATAGCCTCTTTCCAAGAAGCTACAGTCTTCATAAATGCTGATGACCCCACCTACAAAACCACTCCCTGCCCATTTCATCCTTTGAGCTCTCATGTCCTGATTAGTATCCACTCCTGACTAGTCAGGCTTAGTTTTATTTTATAGCAGATTTATTTTCATTCTTCCAAGTTACTTATAATTAGGGTCTAATACCAGGATTTTTAAAAGCTATTCGGTGTTAATAGGATACTCAGTGGCCAATGACTGCCATGACCTATCTGAGAAACTGTCTGAGGACTGTATACAGTGTAAAGTTTTTTTTATTTCCTCCCCAGAAAGTAATTGTTTTGTACCTAAAGAAGGATGAACTGATTTCTATCTTTAGTGCTAAGTAGGTCAGTAGGAGGAGTGAAGGAAATTTCTTGTCTGGTTCTTGCCAGTAAATTTGAGCATGTGTTTAAAGAATGTTATGCTGGCCTCAGTAACACAGCAAGGAGGGTAGAAATAAATGAGCCCTTCTAGAAAATGGTCAGCCTAAAGACATGCAGTCTGAACTAAGAATTGCTTCTCCCAGCCAGTTTGGTGGGAATGAGAATGGCTGACTCTTTTCCTGGGATGAAGTCATGGCAGTCATTGGCCACTGAGTATGGAGAATTGTGTTTGTTTGCTTGAGACAGTTTCACAGTGTATCTTAGGCTGTCTTAGAGTTTACTCTATAGCCTAGGCTGGCCTCAAATTTCTTGCAATTTTGCCTTAGCTGCCAGAGCACAGGAGCCATGATGCTCAGCTAGGTGCATTTTTGTTTGGGGGTGGATTTTGTTTGGCCTTTTTGGTTTTGGTTTTGTCTTTGCAGTGGTGGGAATTGAACTTTGAGGTCAAACACTCAACTGAGGCACATTCCCAGTTCCTGTTTTTATCTTTTGAGATATAACTTACTAAGTAGCCCAGGCTGGTGTGGAACTCACAGTCCTGTGGCATCTCTTTGTAGTGTGTGCTTTAGTCTCACTTTCAGAAATAAGCTTGCCACCAATTCCCTACCCATTTCGGGATATGTGGTAGAGTGGCTGGGATTTGGCTCTTCCATTCGTTTTAGTTAGGGTTTCTATTGCTGTGATGAAAAACTATGACCAAAAGCAACTTGGGGAGGAAAGAATTGATGTTATCTTAGATCTCTCTGGTCATATTCCATCACTGAGATGAGTTAGGACAGTTCAAGGCATGAACTGAAGCAGATGCCGTAGAGGGATGCAGCTTGCTGGGTTTTTGTTTGTTTGTTTGTTTTTAGTTTTTCAAGACAGGGCTTCTCTATAGCCCTGGCTGTCCTGGAACTCGATTTGTTGACCAGACTGGCCTAGAACTCACAGAGATCCGCCCTCCTCTGACTCTCAAGTGCTGGGACTAAAGTTAAAGGCATCCACTGCCCGGCAGAAGTGTCTTTTAAGGCACAGTCTTCATAATAGCCAGGACTAACTGTCCTTTATGACATCTTCTGTGACCTGTAATTAATTGTGTTTTATCTACTGTTCATTTTCTGCCCTCCCTGTTAGATTGTAGGCTCAATTAGGGTAGAGACTGGATTTTCCCCCACTTTGGTCTGTGTTTCTGCACTACTAACACAATATCTGTCATTTAGTAGGGCTCAAGTAATATATTTATCTAAGGAAGGATAGAGCGGGGCCTAGAGAGGTGGCTCAGTGTTTGAGAGTGATTGCTGTTCTCGCAGAGGACACAAGTTCAGTTCCCAGCACACCTGTGACTCCAGTTCCAGGGCATCTGATGACCTCTTCTGGCATCTGTGGCATCTGTAGCACCTCCACACACCATGAATACAAGTAAATCTTAGAAGAAAGTACAGACTAAGCAGAATTTGAGAATAAACATTTGCCATGTAAAATAACCACTTTAAATTAAGTATTTGGAGCTGGCAGCATAGTGGTCCAGACCTGCCATCCCAACACCTAGGAGGATTGTCATGAATTTGAGGCCAACCAGGGCTGCATAGTGAGAACTTCTCTCAAAATAATAAAAAGTAGGGCCAGCAAGATGGCTCAGTAGTAGAGCTGCCTGTCACCAAGTCTGACGATCTCCCTTTGATTCCTGGGACTCACAGGGTAGAAGAAGAAGGATTCCCGCAAGTTATCCTCTGACCTCCACCCTCAACACTGTGGCACACTCATGTGCACATGCATATGTATGCATGCACAAATTAATTGAACAACAACCCCCCCTGAAATTTTTTAATGCAAGATGAAAAAGTAAAAACAAAAATAAAAGTAGACTAGCAAGATGACTGAGCTTGTAAAAGTACTTGCTGCATGTAAACCTAATGACCTGAGTTTGACCTTGATTTCACTGTAGAACGAAAGGGTAGGGCGGGGATACCTAATTAATGTCTGACTGTTAGCTGTGGAGGCCAGCCTTGGAACTGCTGATCTAAAGTTAGCTTTAGCCACGTGGAGTAGCAGCAGCAGCAGCACATGTCTTTAATCCCAGGACTCGGGAAGCAGAAGCAGGTATATCTCTGTGAGTTTGGGGCCAGCTGAGTCTATACAGCAAGTTTCAGACCAGCCAGGACTACCCAGTGAGACTCAGTCTCAAATAAGTAAATAAAATTCCAAATTTTCATAAGGAATGATATTCACAAAGAAAAGTAATATCCTGATAATATCCCTTTATTTTAAACAATATGCATTTCAGTTCATTGTTAGGCTTTTTATGGCTCGTACCAGAATTACCTAATTAAAAAAATTATAGATGTGTTTTTGTGTGTGTCTGTTCACATAAGTATAGGTGACCACAGTGGCCAGAGACATTGGCTCTCCTGGAGCTGAAGTTATAGGCAATTTATATATTAAATATAATAATATAACCCCCTAATTTAGGTGCTGAGATTCAAACCTGAGTCCACTGGAAGAACAGCAAGTGCTCTTAACCACTGAGCCATCTCTCCAGCTCCTAATTATTTTTAAAATATTTTTTTTAATTTTTAAGATATAAAATTCTTTTAGCTTTGTGTGGTAAAATTCACCTGTAATCCCAGCACTTGAGAGCTGAAGGCCAGAGGGGTGGGCATTCATGGTCATCCTCGGTCATCCTCGGCTACATAGCAAGTATGTAGAGTACGTGGGATACACACAGCTCTGTCTTTTATATCCATAATATATGCACTCTCTCGTGGCGGGGTGGGGGGGTTAGTGTTCCTGCCTGCAGTGTCCCGCAGGCACTAGTTCTGTTTCTTTGACATGGAAATTAAGGCAAAGTGAAGTGTCCCATTATTGACCATCCCATAGGCACAGCACAAGTCCACCCATTAGTCCCGATTATTATCCAAACATTTGTGGTTTTCTCGGGAATTGGACTCTGAGGAATTCAAGTGTCTCTACTTGAAAATCACAATATTAGACTAGATTTGCAGTTAGTATGTTAACTCTGGTGGTGTGATGACTTGGAACCTAGCTCATTTTTCTCTTTTCTCTCTCTCCATACAGATTGATAGAGCTCCATTCTCCTGATAGCAGGAACACCTTGATCCTACGCTGCAAAGATACGGCCACAGCACACTCCTGGTTCGTAGCTATCCACACCAACATAATGGCTCTCCTCCCACAGGTACTGGCTGAACTCAATGCCATGCTTGGTGCAACCAGTACAGCGGGAGGCAGCAAGGAAGTCAAGCACATTGCCTGGTTGGCAGAACAGGTAGGTGGGACAGGTTTTACTCATCGCCACTCAGAGTTAGTGACATATATCTAGACGATTTATAGCTATACCTATTTACATAATTTCTCTCTCTCTCACTCTGTTTCTCCTT